ATCTTATTCCAAATTTATGTTAGTGTATGTGATTTCAGATTTTATTTAAATGGGAGAGTTAACCTCTTTGTGCCGGGTCCATTTATCTGTGTTGATTCTGTGGGCCGGGTAATTTTTCATTTTCTTCTGTTTTCAAATTCTTTAAAAATCTTAACTTCATTTACTTAGATGTTTACACCCACACAAATGACTGTCTGGTGGGGCCAGATTAGCATGCAGCAGTATTGTATCGCTCATCACTAGAGCTCTGGATCGCTTTTGTCCCCGGTGGTAATCTGCTCGCACTGAATGCCACAAACAGTGGTATAATCTTGCAAAACTATGACGGATTTCCTCCTCTATTGACAACTGAAAAAATGTTTGAAATTCCCAGCAGCTCGGTCTTTTATTCCCGAGTACGGTCTTTTCTTATAAGGCCCAGCTCTGTTGTCCGCTGTCAGGCAGCTGGGCATTAGGTGTCAAGAAAACGAACCTGAAACAAGTTCCCCTGGCAGAAAGTGGTTAAAATGAATAGTAGACCGAATCAAAACCATGTTTCAAAAACATTTTTGTGTAGAAATTTCAAAATTACTAAAAATGGTTATTCAAAAACATTTTTGTGTATAGAAATTTCAAAATTACTAAAAATAGTTATTCAAAAACATTTTTGTGTATAGAAATTTCAAAATTACTAAAAATGGTTATTCAAGATAATATACATGCATTGATAAATTAAAATGCAATTTAAATTACACTCAATGATGTGCAGAATAGGCCCTTGGGTTCTTTGTTTTTGATGTAAACTTGACAGTTACAAGCTTGGAAAAAGAAGATAATACCGTTATTGAATATCTCTTTAAGTGGAGATGCAACAGGCCAAGTGAGCCAAGTATTGCTATCCTTGGTTATAACTTTTTTCAGATTTTCTACAAAGGTTGCTTCCCTTATGTTTTTTCCGTGATCAACCTTTTTGCATTGGAGAAGGTTTTAAATGCAATCTGACTAAAAGCTGACAGACAGTGCATCTGGACTCAGCTCCAGTTGATATTGATGCAAACTAATACATTCACACTCAGTTGGTGAAATCAGTGAGGGTGAACACACTGCGTTTAACTTGACTGCTGTGTATGGCCTGCCATAGTAGCAAATATATACGCACTGGCATGGGAGCACTCCAGGGTGTGGGAAAATATTATGTTGCAGTAAGAAGTATTGTATAAATTTTATTGGGAATCAGTTGATGAGCTGTACAATTAGCTATTTATCAAAAGTTGGCAGCCACGTCTTGCATTTCTAAAAATTCAAAATTTTCGGCCAAAAATAATACTTTCCTTAAGTGGTTGAGCAAAGATACCAAGTTTAAATTTCCAATTTGTCACATTCTCTGTTTGCAGTCTGTTCTCATTACCATAATAGTTCAAAAAAGGAAAATGTATCAAGGACATGGTACCTGTATGAGTGGCTTGCAGTATGAATGTTTGTGGCCAAAAAAAGCCTTTTATTGGGATTTTCAAGATTTACATTGCTTTCCCTGATGCATTCTTCACATTGTACTTGTCATCACTGTTATATCCTCTGATTTTCATGTAATGAGATTCGCAGGCTTTGAAATGAAAAACATTTCCAACAGCACTAATTCTTACTATGAATACAAATATGTTTTGACTGAACAAGCATGTATCTTTTGTATTACAAGGTTTGTCAAAATCTTGTTTGATAATGAAGATATTTGTATAACATGCACATATCCACCAGTACTCAAGGCACTTATTCTTATCGTTGTTCACTGGGCTTGGAAACATTCCCACAAACCATTTCAGCTCCTTCAGACATACATACATGTACCTGCAGCTTGATGTAGCCATTTCAGGTATACCAGGCAAGATATGGAACGAAGGGGTACCCCCCCTTACCTGTCCAATCCCTAAACACACTCTAGACTATTGTTACTTGACGCATCCCCCTTAGAAGTCTGTAAAGAATTCCTGAGATTCCAATCAAACAATGACCAACACAAAGGTGGGGGGGGTCTCTCCGTCCCATATCTTGCTTCAAATGATTTCAGGTGTTACCAGCTTGATCAGCTGCTAAACCTTGTCCTTCCTGACAGGTGCCCATTCAAACCCTGTGTGGAGAGAAACAAAGCAGCGTTGAAGTGACTTGCCCAGAGACACATCACACCTTCCTTCCCTGTGATCAGGAATAAACCCAAACCACTAGGCCAACACTTTCCCACATTAACACACATGCAGCAAGGTATGAGACGGAGAGAACCCCCCCTGCTTTGTGTTGGTCATTGTCTCGCAGGAATCTGGGGAATTTCTTTGAGACATCTTGGGGGGATGTGTTAAGTAACAATAGTCTGGAATGTGTATAGGGATTGGACATGTTGGGGGGGTACCCCTTGGTCTCATTTCTTGCTGGGTATACATTAACATGTATTTGCCCCTCATCCCCCTTGTAGTGTTGTCAGAAATGTGTCACATGTTATGCAGAAATCTTAACCATGCCATCCCCCAATCTTGCTGGAGCTGGCTGGCCAAACAGCATAAGGATTACTGCAGTAGATTAAATTTGATGGACCACTTTATCAATACAATGCAAATTGTAAACATTTCAGCCTAGGTCATTATAGAAGTGTGGACATCTCAAGAGAATATTCCTAGTACATGTAGGTAGGGGACAAATGGTAGCAGGTGGTGTTCACTATAATGATGAAATCTGTGAAACAGAAAGCAGCGATGTCTTGTAATTGCTTTTCTCTGCAAAACAAGTAAACTGTATTTTATTGAAGAGAATATTGTAAGAAAATGTATGTGCCCAGTGCTCTGAAGTTAAGAATCATTCAGACATTAAGAACCATATCTGAAAACTCACTGTGTCACCTGAATCTTCATTTTTTTAAACTATTCTGAAAGCGTCAGATTTGTGATGGAGGCCCAGTGTGCAAATCAGAATGAAATAAGCACAGTTGCAATTGGAAACTAAACAGTAACCATGGTAACCACCCTTGTATCAAAGGAAGTACAACTAGATTTTCAGGGATCTGAAAGGAGATCTGTACTTGTGGAATCTTATTTTTATGAATTTAAAAACCCATCCTTTGCAGTACTAAAACTGGGCATTTTGGGGAAATGTTGCATAGCTTCAGGTCTCCCCTTCCAAATATTCTGAGATGTTCAAATCAGTGTTGTAGTCAAGTCAAAGACATCACAAGTCCGTTCATTGGTCGTTTTACAAGACCAGTCATAGGTAATAATGTAAAGGAGAGCTTTTGTTGCAGTTCATTTGAAGGGCTTTTGATATAGTTGAAAACTTGCTGACTTGCCATGGGTTTGTGATAGCGTTTCAAAGGATTTGACTGGTGTGAATGTCTAATCAGATGGAAGCATCCAAGTTGGAAATCTATTCCCTCACCTCATAGACACACCTCCAAGCAAATCTACATTGCAAACTTCAGACGGCGGACAACGTAAGAGTGCTTTTATTGGACTTTTCCGAACATATTGTTGTACAGTCACAGCTTGGACCTGTCCAGACGTCCAGACATCGACAAGGGTTAGATAAATCTGCCATGCAAAACTGTTAAAGAGAGAAGAGAAAGACTGCTGAGCAAGACTGGTAGAGGCAGTGAATTAAACAGTCCCATCAGTATCCAAAGGAAATTTGGAAACCTTTTTACTTCATGCAGTATGTCAAACTTATTTCTTAACTAATGAAGATGTCCGAATTGTGTTACTTGCTGTCTTGTAACTTGTAATTGGTAGATTAAAAGTAAAATCTGTAAGCCATTGCTACAAGGTAAAATTGGAATGCAGAAAAGTAAGCAAAATACATAAGGGCCTTCCAGTTCTGTAAATCTGTTCAGCTTTGATTTATCAGTGCTTTAGTCTACTTTTATGGCAGGGTTGACACGTCATTGTATGACGTAAATCACTCTGTATGCCTGTGAGTTTCTTGTAACAAAATTACATTAATTGTACAATTGCAGAAATTGAGATATAGCTCGTGACAGTGACACTGATTTCTGGTAAAATTGAGGCGTTACAGTGCTTTGTTTCCGTTTAATGACTTGTGGGAGGGAGGGGTTAGCTCATAATGAGTATGGTGCTGTAATCTCTGCTGCTGCATGGATAGTGTATTTCTGTCAGCTATTAAACAGATGGAAGGAACACCATTTTGGAGTGTTACTTGTTTTTGCAGTCCCAAATTTCCATATATTGTGTTTGAACACGTCTCAGTTCTTTTGTTGAACCTGAAGGAGTCGGGGAAAAATCGGCTCCCCATTTTTTTCACATGCCAATTTTTCAGAGGTTTGTTCTGTTGTTTCTTGCAGTCGTTTTTACACCAAGTTGTAAAACTTGGCTATGACATCCTCCTGTAGTGTTCGTTTGGCCAAGACAGGTCAACCAAGAATGCATTTTTGCTATGCACTCACAGACTGACTTGTGACCTCAGACTTCAACTGACCGAAACAACAAAACCATGCGTTGGATTAATTTGAAACATTTGTAATAACACTCTCGGAAAGAGGGATGGAATCCTCACCCCTAACTCCTGGCTTTGACATGGTTGGAAAAACCATGTTTCGTTGAGGGTTAACAAACCACCCAACACTTTTTTAAAGAACAGTCATCAGTGTGCAACAGGCAATGAGCCAAGCTGACTCTGCCCTTCCCCCTCACCTCTGCCTAAGCTTTGCCCTTTCCAAAACAAAACAAAACAACCACCCCCAATAAACGGACAAAGAGTAATGCAGATGTCTACACATTATGCTTTTTTATTATCTATTTTCTTCATTGGCAAGGTTTCCATTGTTTGATCACTGTAGAAAATAATACAAGCACCTAACACATGTTAAAAACTAAATAAATAAAGCTAAATAAATACAAATAATTTAGAATTGATAAATTTAATAAGTTAAAATCAATAGAAATTAAGCTCTGGAAATGAATACATGTAGTAAAATTTTTACTGCACCAAATGAAATTGCATGCCCGGATGCACATTCATTTCTAGTACTTATTCAACACTGCACAAAATACAAATACTGTTTGAAGTAAAGTACCTTCTCTATTAAATAAACAATAAATAGATTGAATCTACATCGTATCAAGCAGTAAATAACCTGAAATAAACATCCCTTCCACCCAGCAGAGAGTGACCATTTCAAACTTGACTGTTGCTGGATAAGGAAGGTGTGGACTCTGCTACAAGCATTTTGGATGCTTTATGAGCCCGAACCTGCACTTGTGAATTAAGAAAAGCCCATCATTAAAAGCTTTGCCTTGGAACCATGCTAAAGACACACTGACATCACGCAACCACAATGTGCCTTTGTTTCTGTAGTACATCCCACTTGTGTCTCCAGAAGTGGGAAGAACTTTCATTATGCAGCCAGTGATCCCTCCCATGAAACATCTTTACCTTTGACTTGAGATAAGCAGGGTTTCAACTTAATAGTCATAAGGAAATATCACTCCCTTTGGGTTTCAATCTTACAGTTGCAGATTTCATTGAAACATGCTATGCAGAGAGACATCCATGCTTTTCCATTTCAAATAAACCACCTGACAACGGATAATCATTTGATTGCTATGCCATATATTGTCATTGACCAGAAAATTCAGCCACCCCACCTCGGTTTTCAGCAAGGTGATCCACATTTTCCCTGCTTAATTTGATCGTTTACATGTTATCACTTTCTGATGGCTGATGTATGTCAAGGCAAGGGAAAATCAATGTCCATGTATGGAATTCTCCACATGACCTGCTCCATATACACATAAATGAACACAGCCAATGACATCAAAGCTTCTAAAATCTCTCGCTAGGTCAACCAATCTGACTACCCGTCGTCGTTCAGAAGTAAGGCAACATCTTGTGATATATGTAAAGAATGGTCAAATCGTCTTGCCTGGTATGGTGCCAAGTGGACAGCATTCATAGTCATGTTCTTTTACATTTTTATTTTTCCCCATGTATTTCTTTCTATGGTGTAAATGAATTTCCTTTTTGAAAAGGTCAGTTTTGAAATATCAGCTAGTTTCCTCCCAAATTTTGTAGTAATGTAAATTGATCCATTCAAAGGAAACTATGCTGACTTCATCAATGTGTTGCTAGCATTGGTATGCCTCGCCTGTTAGGATGTCACATATATTAGAATAATAATTATGTTAACAGCAGGCTTGTAATGTGGCCTTTCACGGTAGAAGCCTTGCTTAATATCAGCAGTGGGTGTAGATGGCTTATTAAACACTCTGCCAATCCTACCCTTTTGGGAGTCTGACATATAGTAATCAAGTCCACATACATGTAGATAGCACAGAGTACAATAAGTGTTTGAAGACATATTGAATTGACCCCATGCCAGAGGTCACAGAAACCAATTTGTTCTCGGACTCATTGCGAGATACCAAAGACCAAAGTGTTCTGACAAGTTCAAAACATGCCATGCCACATAAAATTCCCCTAAAAGACATCAACATTACCACTTTACAGGAGACCGGCTCCATAGACATGTGAACACAAAGACAATTATATAACTCAACAATGCTAGTTCACTGATCACTACAAACTGAGTTTTTACAACACAATGTTTCAGTGGGCCACCTACTAGGCATATTTGGCAGCATGCAATTCAGCTAAACATCTTGCTCTTTTTAGCGGTTATCCGTAACTTTTACAAGGAAGGAAATTTACAAGACAAAACCTTCTAAAGATTTATATCTTAACAAACCTGTTTTATCACAAATTAATGTAATTCACTTTTGATTTCAACTGTAATTGGTCGACTGACTTTTAGCCTGTAACTGGTTATTTTAGCTCAGCCTGACAAGCTGTCAGAAAAATCTACTTTTGTTGCATGCTGCATGTTTTTGGTGTCAAAATGAGGAATTTTTTCCAATACTCAAATGATCCATATCACATAAGCATTAAATAGATCAATTGCGCCCGCTAAGTCATGTGACCTACAGTGGGTATCAACCACATAGCAACGTGTGTTTTGAGCATTGTTTAAAAACAATACAGTCCAGTTACGGTATAGTACCCAGCACATCGGTAGTCTGAGTACAGTACCTACCGTCAAATTTATTTTTGGTAAATGATACTTATGAAACAATATGCTTTTGGTTCATGCCATGTTTGTTGATAAATTAATCGGTCTATTCTTTGGAAATTTGTGCAGAAACAACATGGGGAAAGTTTTTTAGAGAATTTGACAAGGATAGATAAATAAAAATTCTGAGGTTTTTATTTTCTGGTCAAACTCCCTGAACTTTTTCTTCTTCAAGTGCAATGTCATACTTGAAAACCCAAATTATATCATATAAGCATATAAATGATGAATGTTTATGAGTGCAATGGTACAAATAATTTCATGAGGTGACAGATGAATTCGTCCAATCCCCTTTGCTTTGCCCAGTGGAATGAAACATTTCATCCGTCTATAAATGAAATAATTCTTTCCACTGCACAAATGTAAAACACTAATTATTTGTTCTATACAATACCTGAATAAATCCTTGTCATCAGATTGTTTGACTTCTGGTTATTTCCTCTCTTGTTAGCACAAATGGTCCTCAAGTGTTGATATCCGCAGTGTCGTGTCTGAAGTGTCACCCATTGGCAGTACCTGTGCAATGTTAAGACTGGTTTCTGTCCCTACATTTGTTCCCTCTGACTGGGAAGAGGGTACCGTGGAACAGAACGAATGAATAGTTTAATGATGTGATCAACAATCCACCAATCAGATGACGGAAATTTAAGCAGGTATTGTGTAATTACTGCCATTTTATAGCCAGTCTTTGATTTGGCCAAATACTAAAAAGCCTCAAACATAGGTGGAGGTGTGTGCAGAATCAATTCATAGCACCACAAGATTTGAGGATTACTGCCATTTTATAGCCAGTCTTTGATTTGGCCAAATACTAAAAAGCCTCAAACATAGGTGGAGGTGTGTGCAGAATCAATTCATAGCACCACAAGATTTGAGGATTATGTCAAAATGTTTACAGGATGTGATTGGCCTGAAAATATGGATGGATAGCCGAGAGATATCTGAGTGACTCACAGTGCAGGCATAAGGTTTGTAACCATGAAACTCCATCAATAGAACATAACACTGCCCTAGGGGACAGGCAAGTGCAACATATGTGACCCGCTCTGCAAAACTGGGTAATAAGTCGTGCAATGCCAAAACACATGGCCTGTTCTATTTGGAGAGGGCAAAATTTCTTCAAAATGTAATTTTTTGTGTTTTTTCCTTTAATAGCTTCTATGACATTTGTAGTTTCAGAATTGTGACTACAAACATGGAAACTGATGACTAAAGATGGAAAATTGATCATTATGAACTTTTTCTTGAAAAGTGCTTTTAATGAATCCGAAAATGTGGACATACAAATGACCAAATATCTCCAGAATGCAGTGCACTACAGGGGTCATTCATGTATCAAATTGTAGCTTTTGATGTACTCAATCCAGCCATATCAAATACTCCCAACCTGAATCTGGCAACTTATTACCCATTTTTCCAGAGCCAGTCACATATATCTTAATGCAATAGCAAACTGTGCAATGCATATGCCACAGTGTGCATACTCACAGATAGTCAACCATATACATACCATAGCGTCAATCCAAATAATGAATATCTCATACTCTGTACTTTCTCAAATATTTTGTACCTATTAAATACAATATACCTCTTAGAAATCCTCTCCTATCAATAAATATTTTGTCCTACTATTTACACTACACTGATCTTCAGTAGAGTTACTTCAAATGTTTCTCTATTTTATACAATTCAGCAAAGCACCATAGTACCTTAGACATCTACATCCGGTAGATTATCAGCAAAGTTTTTGTGTACTCATAAATATTTGGCAGTTTTTACTTCATTCATCATGCAAAAAGCCTTCAAGGATAATTAGGGAGGAACTTAATGCGATAGTTTTAGCAGTGACCTGAGCAAGCTCAGGGGGTCAAGTTGTTCAAGTCATACGGCACTACAGCAAGCAGGCAGTCCTAAGACTGCATACCACTTGATTCAGCAGCATGACACTCAGAATTCTATTTACTAGTCCAAAATTATGAAGATTGCACTTCACAAGTCCATGCATCCTCTACGTGCATACAACAAATAGCCATGGAATATTATTAAAGCTCTAAACAGATTTAAGCACAGTCATGCCAGGGCTTGAAAAATGAGTAGCTGGCACTTCAAATGTAAGCTTCCATAAGCGTTGCACCTTTTCCTCCTATGATGTACTACCAGCTGGTATTTGTAACCTCATCTACTACACAAAATTGTACTTCACCTGCAGGTATTTCTTCTCAGATGCAGACAGAAACAGATTCAATGGCTTATCCCCCCCCCAACAAAGGAAAATTGGTCGTGTCAAAAAGAGAGTTCTGGCCGTGGTTTGCCTCAGGCTCAGCATGTAAGTATTTGTGGTTGTTTTGGGAGCAGCCAAAGTGTCAGAGCTGACAGGATGTATCCACAGTTTGCTTTAAGCCTTTTTTAGAGAGGGAGTAACTTCTCTTAGCTTGGCACGGAACCTCTCAGCTTCTTTACTTTGAGAGTAAATGGCAAAGCTTCATGCTTACGGTGAGACAAGTGTTGCTTTTTGACAGTCACAAGTATAGTTGGCTAACTGTAATTCTTAAATGTGTTTAAAAGGCCAATTGTAAATTCAGACCAGCCATGGAGATTTTGTTGGCATAATTTGGTGACTGGTCAGGCATTTAATAAAAACGGAGGAGGGCATTGAAGCAAAGGTGATGAAACCTGATCATATGAGTGTGGCACACAATGTCTATCTGGGTGAAAATACCTGTCTATGAAGTACTTCATAAACAACAGCAAGATGAGACCCCCCCTCAAAAAAGTCATGTTTTCTCCTTTAAACAAAAACTGAAATATAGGGCCATGTGTAGGCTTTTTAACCCTCTGGATCCTGGGTCATTCTTAATAATTTAAGCACCTCCCAAATCTAGTCTGGTATCCCATGACGCCCAGTATTCCCCCTACACGCAGGTGTCGTGCACCCCTGTGCTACCCCGCCTGTCTACAATGGTTGGGTCCACCGTCTTGGCCATGTCCAGTAACCGGACTGTCTCCTGCATGCCTTCCATGTCATCCTCCGTGTCGGTGGGTGCCATGATGGGGGCGGAGAAGCTGTGATGATCCCTGGGGGTGGTGGGCTGCTGGAGGAGACGGCTCTGCTCATTGGTGCCATCATCGATGTCATCGTCTGATTTCTCAATGAGAGGATCAACTGTAAGAACACAGACAAACAGAAATGATTTCTGTGCATCTTTTGAAATACTTTTGACTGCAAAAAAAATAAAAGGAAGTAATCTCTCAGGATCTATAGATATCTCTTTCTACTTTAAACATGCATATTTACTAGCAGTGGTTAGTAAACTGTGGGTTGTCAGTAAAAAGGCTGCAAAATAATCCACAAACAGTTCAAAACTCACAAGTAGATATCAAAACACCTAACACAAATGCTATGTACTAATCAACAGTATACATGTAGAGAACTTTCAGTCACATGATTTAATGGTCAGCATTCAATATACACGGATGGGCATGGAAACACGCACACCTTCAATGTCTCTCAACATTCTGGCATACATGAAACTGCCAATAGAAATACAGTGTCAAAAATGCATGCGCTTTCACGGACATGGTACGTTTCCTGAAATGCCTTAGCCTGTCATGTTACATCATGTGTAAAACCTCTATAGTCCCTTTTAAAAGTAATAGGGCATAATGTATATTTTGAACCAAAACCTGATACAAACCAAGGATGCTATTTCTGCAATCATTTGCCTCTGATGTGAATGGCAGGTGGAAAGAGAGGTCTAAAATTCAGTATCCCTTTTCATTAAATTACTGGTTTACTGCTTTGACTAGACAAGAGGCAAAATTTCTGTTACAGGAGTGTTTAGGTACAATCATAAACTAATTCAAAAATCTCTATTAGTAATAGACTAAGGCTAAGTAACGGATTATAAGGCCTGTCTCCATGCTACTCACTGTGTATGACGTTCTCCTCTGGCGCATGGACCTCTGGGGTGTGAGCCTCAGGACGTACGTGCCGACGAGAGCTAGTGCTCCGACTTATCCTCTTGGTGTTGTGTCGACGTTGGAACGGTCGCAGCGGTGAGCCCATCTCTTCCTCCTCCTCTCGCTCATCATCCGCTTCGGCGATGCAGGTGTCGGTGTGCCGAATGCTCCTGCGCCCATACCTGGCAGGATAGGTTGGTGAGGGTGGGGGACATAGGGAGTGTCAGGTGTTGGAGCAAAGAAAATCTGAGTAATGCCTAGCAACAATGGCAGCTCCAGCAGTTGCAAAATAGGGAGGTGCACAGATCATACAATCAGGGTACAGTCAACTCTTGTTATTACGACATCGGCCATAACAAAATTCTGGTTATTACAAACACAAATCTGTGGTCCAAGCGAAAACATTGACATTTTTATGGGGAGGAAATCTGTTACAGCAAAATTGCATTATATGAAATTCCTGATACAACGAAAGGTTTTCGTGACTCTGTTGCCTGAAAACCATTGTTGACGACCCATTTACAATGAGCGTTTGTGAATCACGGTGGTAAAGACACCTGTGCAAAGTACCACTCTGGTTCCCGCTGGGCTGAACCGTTGCCAACAAAGGCATGGTGGAAATGTGGCAACCAGTCAATGTACAGTTCCTGCCAAAAAAGGTCGATTGATGCTTTTACATGTATTTGCTTTTTTAAATTTCACATGCAAATAAAACATGTTGTCAGCATATGACAGTAAAGTTTATTATTTGATTAATCATAGCCAAGACATCTTTTTGATATAAAATCAACCACGTTCACGTGTATGTACGTACCGTATACTGTACATGGCTTTGTACACAATTGGACCTATTCATGCAATGCATCAAAGCCATTGCACTGTTTTGTGCCTACTACGAATTTTGGATACAACAAACAATTCTACTTGGTCCCGTGGATTTCGTAATAACGAGAGTCGACTGTATATCTTTATCACAACTGGTGAATGTCTGTATCTTCACTGTTATTAATTGACCAGCAGAGAGCAGAAGTTCAAATAAATATAAAATCATATACACAATCAAAACAATTTTGAAAATAGAGGGGCGTGTGCCAGGCAACACCCTCTCTCTCAGATCCGCTGATGTATACCTGATAAAAAAGTTACAGGGATAAATAAGGTTTGTCATTTTGTTCAAGTGAAAGTTTCTATCAACTGAACTGAGCTCAAGTTTCTTCTGAAGTTGGAATGCTTGGAATGCCGGAACTGGCCTTTTGTAAATACAGGAACATGAACTTTCAACAGAAAAGAGACAAGACAGATTTCATAAGGGTACATGTCTGAGGGGAATTTTCATGACACATTTGGAAGGATATCAAACTGATTTTGATCACTGGCATGGACAAAAAAACTCAAATTTTGACAGGATCCAACATAAATAAATCTGAAGTCAATATTCAGATATCTTTTGTAAGTAACAGCAAGAATTTTCCATGCTTTTCACATTAGATACATGACAGAGTTGTTTTTATCCTCAAGTAATGAAAACTTGGTGAGGACTGAACTGTGTAAAATTTGTTTACTTGCCTATAAGTAAAAAGCAGTTGTAACAACTTGGAAACATGTTTAGCTGCATCATTTGGAAAAAACTGTTAATTTTGATGCAAAAACTCCTTTGGGATAAAACCTTGTACCAGTTTTTACCCAAAGCTTTCCAAGGAAAGTCGGTGTCACACAAGCCTGCATTTTGTCATGTTCCATCTCTGAACTTACCCACTATTGGATCTTGAAAGGCTGCGCTGTTGGTCAGAGTTGTTCGCATTGTGGTCGGCTGAATCAGAGCTCCGCACGGACCCACGGCGACGGGTGCTGTTACGACGACTTGAGCTCTGACGACTGGAGCTACGGCGGGACGTAATGGTGGCTAGATGCAAAAGGAAGACAAGATGGGTATTTGCACTTTACAGCAAGGGGTCCCACATACAGGTATGTTTCCCAGTGCTGAATTCTCTGAGGGTGGCATGGGGGTATACATTTTTTGCGGGGGTTACTGAAAACAAATGAAATGTAGCATGTACATAGGTTCACAAAATATGGAGGGCCTGACATTTCGATCCTAGCAGAATCTTTCTCCAAGGCAAAATAACAAGTAGACAGGACAAACAAGCAAACAGAGAATCAACCAAGCATGGATGAATGCAAGAGGACAAAAGGAAAGATCAAGAAAGCTGCTGGCTGGATAAAGGGGCAAGGGGTAAAGGGGACTGCATAAAAGGCATGTAGAAAGGTTGCTTGCATTCTGACATATCAATGAGATGGACTTCTGCTGGGGGCATGTACCTAACTAGGCCACTGCTTGTAAAACATTCAACAGCAACAGCTCTGTGTTGATATAGAAAATGTAGTCTGTGAAGGGACCACCAACAGTTCTTAGTTTTTGTACCCAGAATTTTCAAAGCCTATGTTACACGATGACTGTCTTTTGAACAAACGTAAAGTGCTTAACAGGATCTGTTGTGCAACGCACCGGCCACACCCAATATGAAAATCAAATGGTGCTTTTCAACTTTGAAAGATGGTGGATCTACAGTGATAGCTGGTGTTGCAATAAAGTCTGTTCCTCTAACATGTGACTCTTCTGCATCTTGAATGTCAACTGCATTGTACTGGGTGAATTTTGTCTGGGTGCATGTTAAATCGGGAGAAGATAGCGGATTGAACAACAAACGTGCAAAGGGCATGTACTCAGATCTAGTTGTACATGCCAACTTCTGGATGTAATGAGCATCAGGACTGGAGTGTTCATGCTAGCTGCACATGTCAACCAACACTGCTTTCAACATTAATTGTAATTGGTTGGATTAATAACAACATACCCTGTACAGTCATTGGCTTATGAACTGCACAAAGTAACGAAACAATGCCAACACAATTATCAATGGGATTCTGTACACATGCTCAAGACAGACTGTAGATGCCGGCAATGTTTGCAAGAATGTGATGCACACAGTGCCTCGTATCTTAGCAGGGTTCATGTCTGGTTACCTTTCCTAGTGAGACGACTGATGATGGACCCTCGCTGCTGGAAGGGAGATGTGATTTCCATCTCCTCAAACACCTGGGCCCTCTGTCCGGTCATGACAGCCAGCTCATCTGTGAACTTGACACGGTCTGTCAGGAATCAAGATCGAATGAAAATCTATTAGAAGTTTGACATAACAACATATCTGATCAGGTCATGGGGGAGAAAGTACCCAAATTCAGTTACAAATGCAGCACAATGGCAGAAAGGAATCAACATAACTGGGCAAACACATATCTTGAAACAATATTATCACCAGCCCCTGGTTGACACCACTCTATCAGCATCTTACTTTGTCATGCTTACCAGGAGCACTTCAAACTTCACATACATTTCAAGAGGGATGTGCTTGTTGTACTGGGAAAACCTTGCAACATTTTGTTTGTTCTTCTTGATTACAATGGCTCCAGAAGAGTAGAGCCCATTAAACAAAATATCCAAAATGTTCCCAAAATATCATAGGTAATGGTCAATCTTTGACTGTTTCTAACTAGTAACTTTTCAAAAACTTAATTCCTATCTTGGGAAAACTTTGAAATGGCAGCTAAACAAAGGAGCCTCAGCATGATTAATACCCTAATAATGGCCAGAATTCTCAAAGTTTGGCAGTTGCAACAGTGAACTTTGATGCAATCAACAAATCACTCAGACTTCCAAAGGCATGGCTTACCTCTAGGGACAAACATGTTATCTCTGAGATGACGTAACTCATTCACCAGTTCCAGCATCGTCTCTGACTTGCATTTAGTCTGGGGTGAGTGAGTAACGCGTAGTTTCTGCCCAACATAACGCTGTAGCATGACTTCATGGTCTGTCTCACATATCATTCTCATCATCTACAAGTTCAATAATCATAACTTGAGTAACAACTGGGAACTTTCTCATTTCTCTCATTTTAACTACTTCTGGTATCTGCTGGACCAAAAAGTAGTGCCAAATTTTTCCTGTTTTTCATGTTTTTCTCAAACACCAAACATCTATTTCCATTACTATGTTGTTTTGTAAGCTTTTATAAGGTTGTGTATAATCACACACATCACTTGCATTTGATTTTGAAAAACAAATAAACCTCCTATGCACAATGCACCTTTGTGTCTCAGTCAGCCTCATTTTCAAGTTTTGCTTGACTGTTTGAAAGGGTAGTTTTCTGCTTTTATGCTAATGATATCTCCATATTCATGAGCAAAGCTGTAATGAGTCTTAGGAAGAAAACCTCATGCTCCATTGGTTTGTGCATACAAACAACTCTTGCATTTCTACCATTTTATTAGACTGTTTTCTCTTCTTTGGTGATTCATTGTTGTGTAAGTACCTAGCAACAACCCTTCAACAGAAATGTTTTCAAACAGTGAATTCTGGGTTCAAAATTTGAACTGAAAAGCCTCTGCACTGAACAATGTTTTTCCCCATCCATACTTTGACTGAGAAAAAACTACATCCTGCAGATTCTGTTAGATAACGAAGACTTAAGTACATTTCTATACACTGTGATATCAATATCAAAGCTTGGCATACATTCAGAATGCCATGCTGAATCCTGAGCATGACAATTCACCTTAAATGCGATGAAGGGCTTGAGCATGACATACAGGGGAGTGCGGACAGTGATAACAAAGTCCATAAAACTCCACAGGGCCAGACCACCTGTGCATAGAACACAAACATAAATGGTGAAAAAACCCATGAGTCACATATGAATTGCTCATAGGTGCTAGCATCTATGGGAAATGCAGAGCTGCTAGCTGGGGTCTTCCACATGGGCATGTGAGCTAGTTTCAGCTGTACTCAAGTAACCTCTGTCTACTTTTGGTTGCCATTTGCATATAAAGCAGTGGCATATCCAGTGGAGGGGGCAGGCAATTTATCTCCCCCACCCGAGAGACAAATTGCCTTTTTTTTTCACTGAAAGTTCAAATACTTTTGAAATGGTACCCCCCCTTTGCAGGATCATTTTTACGAATGAAAATGGGGAGTGATTGTTTTTAGAAAAAGAAAATCATATTTTGCCAATCCATCCACCCCCGCCTGAAACCGGGATATGCCATTGCTATCAAGGATCATAGTGTAAGGTATGGGACTACTGAAAATAAACCATCGTCAAAAGCCCACTGCTGGCAAAATATTTGCAGACTGAAATCCGCATTTTTTTCTTTCCATGCCAAACAAGAGAGTTGTTTGCTTGTAAGAAATTCCTAGGTGTTCTCATCACGGCAGCTGAACCATTTCACAAAACTTAAGCCTAATTTACTGAATCAAGCCACTTCTGGGTAAAGTGTGGAAATGGCCCTAGAGTTGCAAGCTTCACAGCATTTAAGACTTATATGCATGTATGTACACCTGTGTAACAGGTTGACAGAAAGAAGCTCTTACCAAGCATTCTGGAGCCAAGTTCCTTGATTGCTGAGGCAATACGGAACCACTCACGAGACAGCTGATTCTCAAAACACACCATCATCATCTTCAGACCTGAATGATTACCAACCAGGATTGCAACAATTAATATGGAAACAAGTTTGCAGTTGTTGTTTTAAGTTATCATTACCCACAAACCATATCCTCTGAAGTCTATGGTACCTTGTCACAAGTTGACTCTGACAAAACTCCTACCCTGAATGTTAGTAATGTGTAAGGCATTTCTACACTGTAACCACTGTGGAGATACATCAAGGTCAACAAGACATCAACTGTACACTAAATCAACAGGTCTGTTACAAGATATGAGCAATGACAAAGGAATTTCTAGTCACTGTTCACTTTAACAGTTTGTAAGGTGATTTGAGACTGAAAAAATTGTGATTAATGTGATTTATGGGTAGATGTTAATTTTCCAAATTTCTGAACAAATTTCCATTTTTTCTTTTTCAAAGAAAGAGAGTTTGGATATTCTGGCTTCTGGAATGGCTTCATGGCTCACCCAGGAATCCCGCCTCGTACAGCGAATCGGGGATGACCGAGCTAGAATCCCGGTAAGAGATGCTGGTGTGGCTAGGTAGGTCTGTGATGGAGGAGTAATGATGTTGCTGCTTGAGTGGCATAGCACCACTCCTTCCCACCTCCATTGTGGGCTGGCGTTTGGGGGGCAACAGCGCATACAGTATCATGGTCAGGGCAAAGGATATGTCTGACGGTCGAATCTTGGGTGAATCTGATGAGACAAGGATATTCGAGAAGTTAGGCACGCAACATTCTAAATAAATACTACCTTGAATTTTGTGATGTGCTGAAGAAGAAACTATTCCTTTCAAGAAAACAGTGTATTAATTCATTTCAAACTCACACTTTTCACATGCTTAAATGTTTCATTTGGATATCTACTACAAGTGGCTTTTACTTGAAAAGGATACAACCTTGGGAAAACAAAAGTTGCACTAAAGATGGGCATAACTCTCCACAAACAATCATCTGATTCAGTTAAACTGAATTCAAAGGGAGCGAACTAATGATTGGATGCCAATAAAAACCAACGTATCACCAGTTTAGTTCAGTCACAGGATATATATAACTGACACTCAAATCATACATGTATTTAGTCTCACGCAGTTCAGTGGGTATGCCAAAGCCTGATGTCACATTATTGATGCTCAACAAGATTTCATGCAGCTCTGAAAAGGCAGGAGTGGGAACTCATTTGAAAACTGAATATCTACCAAGTTTGAAACTTCCTTGAAGTCTGGACTTGCTGATTTCTTGGAATTTAGTGAGACACTGTCTTCAAGGAATTCAGTCAAAAAAAACTGATGTAGGATTCAAACATAAAGGCCTGATGATCATATGCCAAAACAAACCAGCAGCAGGCTGTGTGAATTCACACAGGAATTGTTTCGGTTGTCACACACAAAGGCGGCAAGATTAGGACTTCCTTAGTGTCAACTGTTCCTTAGGATAGTCAAACCAGAGACAGAGTCTTTGCTGACGTGAGTCAAGTCTTGGTCAATAAAAAAGTTTGAGATGAACTCTGGTCTGATGACCCCCTGACTCAACGCTCTCATGATTGTAACAGAAACCAGGGTCCTCATCAACTTTGCAAGTGGATGAACAACAATGGATGACCTAACTTGGACAGTGCAGAGATTATGGACTGCATTATTTACTCAAGCATAACTGACAGGCAACACTGCCAACAGTTCTGCTCCAGTGATGATCACATCACTTGAGACAGATTTACATAGCAAATATCTGCTACAGATCAGACATTTTTCTTGGGAGAAAAATAAAAAAAAACTGTGGGAAGTAAAAGTCCAAAGTGTTAATTTCATGTCATCAATACGCTGATGATATAAATGCCAAAGCAGCAGCGTATCTGCCGTCTTTGCCATTGGTCACTTTTTCAAAATCTAATTCAGTTCTTCTGGCATATTTGTCCCCCTGGAGTAACACACAATCCTAACAGTAGACTTACCTTTCCTTCCACAGCCCACTCTCAGGCAGAGTGGAATGACCAGGTACAGCAATATGGTCTCCGTCCGTTCAGCAGAGTTGAAGACGGGTGTCCCCCCAAACACTTGCTCCAGGGTGTACAGATCCTACATGAAATCAAGCCGCTAGTTTCTTAGATAACCTTAACTTAGAAAAATTAATTAATCAACTTAAAAAAAAAAAGGCATCCTCCAAAACCTGCCATCTTCCACTGAGAATGCTGTAATTCATAGAGTTTAAGGTGAACAAATGGAAGTTGACTGACTAAAGACACAAGCTAATATGCAGCGAGTACTGTACGACTGGTTTGACAAGTATTGGTGTTTCCCCAAATGGTCATTTTGATGTTAGCCCATCCAAGCTACGTGTAAAAGTGCAAAGTAAAAGTACAAAACAGAAACTTCTTGCCCAGAAAAAATTGTGGACTTGTCATGGAGATTTTCTAACATCTCTTGATGTTTTACTTCAGAGAACAGGAACCTTCCTTACAACCTATTCACCCAAACACCCTTTTTTAAAAAGGAATAAACCAAGACCCATAGAAGTAAATTGGTTTAAAGATGAGATTTGATATCAGGTTCAATTTGACTAAAGCAACATTCTGTTCAGAAGCACTTGATTATGTTATATGATTCCCAAAGACCAATTTTATGTCGAGAGAAATGGATATTTAATGTACATTTCAGCTCCTCCAATTTTTTCAGTTTAAAAAAAAAATGCCTCCAAACAAAAGAAGAATCTCAATCAACTCAAGCCTCACTTTTTTGTGAATCAAACTAAAATTCCCAGCTGCACTTTGGTGCAGATTCATTTCAAATCTTACTGTGAGTTCCACACCAAAAAATATTTGGAATTCAGTTTTTGTTTTCCCAAATGTAAGATTTAGTGAAGCTGTTAGGGATTTAGAAAGGATTAGACAGGAGACAGGGTGAAAGGTCAAGGTAGTAGGGATGCAAAGGTGAGGACTCTGCAAAGGTACCAAGTGGTCAGCACACACTCTGGTTTCAGTGACGACATTTTGCTAGCTGTATATATTCTGAGGACTTTGCAGAATGTCTTCTGGCCTCTTGCAAGTTGCAAATCTTACTGATGCGTTGGTAGAGATTTCTATTAACTTCTATTGACTCTGCAGTCTTTTGACCAACGACATGGTTTGCATAATACTAAGGTGTGCATCAATCAGATCTCTTGAAATAACACTGACTTGAGCATTCTGCAAACTCTACAAAATACACAGAGCCTACACACTGACATGTACCTAATTATTTTTTTTCCAATTCTGCAACTCCTCAAAAAATCTCCTCTTTGCCAAATAAACAATGTCTGATCCATTTCAATGCACATTTGGAAAGAATTGACAGATTTCGCCCGCTGTGATTGGCCAACACGGTGCAAACTCTTAGAGCCACACTACAGTGAATCGCTTGTATTGTCTTTATGCTCAACATACCAACAGTCACAAAAAATTCAGGACATTCACTAATAAATATTTCACTTGTTTCAAACTTTCATTTTGTAGTTTTTTTTGTGCCACGGTCCCACTTTTACTAAGTGTAGATCAATTTAAGTGCACACAAGTCCACATACATTTTCCAGAATTAAACCACATATGATCAGCTTTTGTTTTCCAGTTGTATCCATTATGATTCATCCCACTCACATCTGAATAAAATCAGGACCTTTAGACCACAATCTTTTAAAGATGAATTTATAATAGGCCTTAATCTGCAATAATCGTGAGTTCAACAGACTGATGGCAAATCTGGTGTAAGGAGATCAGGGGCAAACCAAAATTATCATAGAACATGCACAGAAAGAAAGAGAGATTTTGAAGAAACTTTCTAGAACAAAATACTCAGGAGTTAGGGACACACCATAATCTGAAAAATCACTTCGAAACAAGCATCAGCAAGTAGATCCCAATTCTACAGTATAAACAACCATCAAAGTACTTTTGTGATTTAATCTAAAGGACATAAATCAGAAAACAAAAGGAGTTAAATAGACAAAACTTTAAAAAGGTAAAAAAGTTAAAATGAGTATTTCCACGACAATCCAATCCTGATATGATTAAACAAGAGTTCAACACTTGATTTTACAAAATGATGCGATAAATAATAACTGATTTGACTTTCAATGTATTGTATAATTGATTTCACAAAAATTGTTCCTTAACACCAACTGTGAACTGATGGTAGTTTTGCGACGTTAGTCACGACAATATTGAATATATGAAACATAATTCATTGGGCCTGCCACACATAAGCAGATAAGGCACATCATTCAGAGCTAGTTTTATGGCATAACACTCAAAGAAACATGGTCCAGACCATCATTTGTCAAACAAGGATGCATAATTTTTGATGTAATGGAGCTGAAAGGAAGAGTTGCAATTTGGAATTAGGTTATTGTCCTTCACTGGCCTTTTTTACAGTCAAATAAGGTTATAATCTTCACACTTTTGTTTTGATTTCAGGTTACTAAGAGAAAAAAGCAATGATTTGTTTGCATTGTTCACTGAGAAAATTGGATCAGTGTTGTTGAATTGTATGCAAGATCTATTGCAAATAAAATGGTTGGCAGAAGATGTTCCTGTCACACCACATTATGGGGCTAAGACTGAATATAATAAACACTAAGAATGCATCACAATTCAAAATGCATTCTGTGAAATCAGATGCAAATCTACATACAACGATAAGCACCTCTGCATGTGCCTCCCTAAAAAAACAGCTAATTTTTTACTCACTTCATACGCTTTCAACTTTTAAAAATTTCCTTCAAATAGTTACTCTCTAATGTTAAAATAAGAAAAGAGTGTATAAAATCAGTTTTTTAAATGTCATTCACTAAGCTTAACCTTTGCGGCTTTTGTTTTTAAGAAGCAGCAATTTGCTAACATTTGTGATTGAAAAGACCCCGCATGGCTTGCAGTACTTCAAACTGCTAATAAATCTCAAAGATTTGCCCAATATAACCCAGTTCTGTCTTGTAATATCTGTATTGTTTGTTACACAGCTATGCTCAGAACAAAACCATTTTTAGACATCTTTGCAGGACAATTCATTGCCTTGAACTTTTCAACAGTTTGAATAAAAAGACAAGCATAAAATGAATACAAAGACCATCCATCTCATCTCCACTTGGGCAGATTTGCAAATGGGCCTGAAGGTAACATTGAGCAAGTCATAATATCATGGCTTCAGTTGGGTACAGCTACCTTATCTGACACAAACACAAACATGCACATTGTTGTAAAAACATACAAAACTTTCAATATGAGGAGAAAAAAAAACAATGGAAAAACCACACCAAAAAAGACAGCACCAACAAACACACTGGCCAATGTGACTAACATTGTGCAGACAAAGGCAAAAAAAGCAGCCACAAAATCAGGAAAAGTTATTTTTGTCCGAATCAAGTCAAACACAAGACAAGTTGCGGGATAGGGGGGTGGTCAACACAGAATAACTGTCAAACTGTCACAACAGACACACAAACCCAAATGTCACCCGTAGGCTTGGTAAATATCACATGATCTTTTCATTAATATCTTCTCATCTGCTGGCAGAGTGTTATGCCAGAACAGTGTTGCTTCCAAGTCCTTTTCTGACTTTGAGTATTGTATCGTAAAATATTCACAAACGTTCTTGACATTAATCGTGATTGGCTGCACAAAAAGTACCGAGTAATGGGGATTTTATTGTGGATAGAAACTGAGTATTTGCATAAGAACCGACATTGATCTAAATCTGAATACTTTAGCAGAGTTAAGAGCACTTTCATACCCAAGAATTTATCTACTCGTGAAGACTACTCGGTCGATGCATCCAAGCGTGCATTTAAAACCATTAAGGGGCTTTAACACACTTTTGGGTGGAAGGGAAATGAAACGGACCCCCCCAAAAAAATCCCCTTCTCTCCTTAATTTAAAAAGCAATTGCCAGGAAGGGAGGGGAGGGAAAGACAGTCCCCGAGGACACAGTCCCCATCCCCTCATTCACCTTCATTCAGTATTTCAGTGAACTTGGAGTCTTGGGATAAAGGATTTGACAGCAGCCCAGGTTCAGAAAGGAAACTGGAAAATTATCTTTGAAGACAAGGAATTTTGGAAAGATCTGTTTTTCACCTGGTATGTGAAAAATGATTTCATGTAAAGTGGCTTAGTGTTTTGGGAAGCATTCAAAAGTCTTGCTGGTGGCCAGTAGCAACACAAAAACTCTTTTATGACACTTCATCACAAGATATTTTTGGAGTGTCATTTAGACAGAAACTTCCAGCGCAAACTACCACTCAGTGTAAGTTTAAAATAGAGTAAAATCACAAATTGTGCAAGAACGAAGGCAATCCTAAATTCTGTAGATGAAGTCAACACAGGCAGGGTATCTTTATAAGTGTCACTTATCAAGCAAATCAGCCAAATGTTCAATGCCAAGCCAATGGTGACATCATGACAGCTGGATTAACTAACACACAACTCATACAACTCAATAGGGCAACTCAACACGCTTTTTGGAGCCTGTCTGTCTTTTTCGTCCACATCAATGCAAATCTCAATCTTCATGTTTGTATCCAGTACGTCTGATTCGGGTTTTTCTTATTCTTTTTTTAATGTTGACTTTGAACACTCTCAGCAGGTGCACAGTTTTAGTAAATATATTAATTCACCAGAAGTGGTCCACCTCAGTATACAAGAGTTTCAATGTATCTCACTTTTTATTTGTTTATTGCATCTAGTGATGTAATTACATAGTAATAATACAGTGAAGTGAACAAGTAGTGCATCATTTAGCACACTTTCATTGGACTGGATAATCACAGACTTCAATCTGCAGATATGTGGAAACCTCTTCAAAACCCAAATCCCAAAATATAAAATTAGGAAAACTCTGAGGCTGTGGAAGAGAAAAAATATGACAAGAGAAAGATGGAGAAAGTGAAGTCAAACAAAGCGTCAAAGCAAGGCAAAAGCAAGGCAGGCAGGCAGGCAGTGTGGTGCTAAACTTGCCTTAGGCCTCATCCAGTACTGGTGCTGGAGGCACATAGAGGGGGGTTGTATACGTACGTACGCAGCAGGCACCGTTCAGGAGGCACGCAAAAAACAGGAAGTACAAGAGACCAACGAAAAACAAGAGTCAAAGACAGGTGATGGCAACGTTCAAAAATGACACATGGCAGCGTGGTGTACAAGTCGTGGGTGGCCAGCGTTTTTGCAGTTCAACTGGTTATTCAATCTAGTTGAATATTTCGTTCGTGCTGTTAATGAGTAAGCTAATTTGGTTAATTGCATGTTAATGCCTCAAGCTGGTGGGGAAACTCCCATTGATACTAATATTTCTCTTCCCTACTGCATGGAGGTTTTTTTGTGGGGGGGGGGTACACAGCCCAACACCTAGATTGAGTTTTATTATATAATTTTGGTAAAGAATGTATTTCACAGAAAAACATCGTTCCAAATTGATTTGCTGGACAATATCTTTCAGATGTTACTGTTTTCCCCAAATTCAAAATTTATCAGAATTGTGACAATCTGGGTAGATGATCTGAATTCTTATGCTCAGCTTCCTGTGACAATTTCTAAAACTTGAACTTTTCCCCTGGTTTTAAATGACTTGCAGATGGATATATTTGAGCTTGTACTATTGAAAATCTCAAATAAAGTTTTGTAAAAAGTGACATTTTGCATAAAAAATAAGTATAAGTAAATGATTGCCGCAAAGAAGAGGCCCACAGGTTTGTCCTGCTTTTTTCATGATGTTTCTGTTGGTGGCTGGTGTCTGTGTCCATTAAAGGTCAAGCTTGAGCATCTATCAAAAAAAGAGCACATTTTGTACCTCAAGTCTCTCTGTCTTTGGGCTGTGTACTTCTAAAATATTTCCTTTTAAACAAAACTGAAATGCAACCAGTTGAACAGTACAATGAGAGTGCTGGGACCATTGGTTGTAATTAATTGCTTCATACTTGTTTTCAGTCAATTATTCTACAAGCTCACTTTTCATTTTAGTGTTAAGACAACTACAACTTCTATGCAAAGAATAAAATGTTTGGGGCAATTTTCAACAGGATAGGAATAAAGTAGGGGAGTACTTTTATCATACTAACTAGCCATAAACTTTAAAATATGGGCCAAAAAATATCTGTTCACGCATTTTTAAGTCAGATATCAGAGACGAAATGCATAAGTGGTTCAACGTTACTTTTTGATGAGCTAGGAATAAAACTTTCTGCAATTAAGTCAAACAAATATATAATAAAATATGAATATGTTCATCAAAAACATCTATAAACTGCGTAAGGAAAATTGCATGAAACTTGTACATCCAAAATTTTACTTGAATTTGTTATTTTTTAAACACACTCAAACTAATTGTCTCAGCACTGAAATGACGCACCCATGAAAACAAGGGTGTGGCTATATATAGAAACATACGGTGGCACATTCTTGTCAATCATCAAAGCACAGGATGAAATTGTAACGCATTAAACATACGTACGGTGCGGACAAAACGTGAAAACATTTGGCCAGTCTTGTGGTCTCAGCAAACCATGTTCAAAAAACAACACTGGACACACTATATATAGATATATGAAAATCTGTGCTGCAGACTGACAACATTTGGGACACTTGAATCACGTGATAATCCTGTTTGGACTTATCTTGCACAGCAAGTATGGCAAAAAAGCAATGCAGAACACAGTGCACACCATTAGATGTTGGCCTAGAAGAGGCTGTTTCAAGGTGGGCATCTCACAAACTATAGCGTAATTTCTGTAACCAGAATTAGAAGCCATCACTGCGGTGGCACAACGCTCGTGTAGAGGTGGCACGCGCATGTGACTAATAGAGTGAAGCGACCTGTCAAATGCATGTATGCGTGTCACGCATAATACTGCACGTGTGAGTGCAGTGCCACCGAAGTTACGGCATCTCCTGGACAGTTTGTCTATATGTACTCCAAATGTTAATAATTTGTTCAATGTTCACGTGCAGTACTGTACAGATTCAAATGTATTTGAAACCTTTAAAATAAACTTATTATTTAAGCATTCATGCATGTGCTCGGAAATCCTTAAATGTCGCCATGTTGGCTTAGTACACGGATACTGGCTTTTTCATATGATGCACTTTGACCCACAAAGCTGCCTAAATGATAATTCTTTGCAATCCTTTTGAGCACAATATGTATGCAACCAGCCACTCCAAATATGTTATGATGTGGCAGACTGGTTGGTTGTTACTCACCAAGTCTATTACTAATCCAACCACTGCCTATTAAGTGAAAAGAAAGTGAATTCCTAGGTCACTCCTCTCCATAAGTTTTTTTTTTCGTCTTATTCATTTTCATCAGGAATAGTTGGATGTCACTGGATAACTGTGAATGTTGAAAATACAACTCAGGTATGGTACAAAAAAACCTTCCTGAAAATCTTTTAATTTCAAAAAATATGGTAGTTTAACACAAAAGAATTTCAAATAGGAGCTTTGGCAATACCATAAAATGCTTGAATAACTACCCAGTTAAATGTAACTACCTACAAAATTTTTCAATAACTCTGGAAATATAATCTATAAATGCAATAATCTACTTGAATCTGCAACTTAGTAAAGAAAGAAAGTATCCACATACCTTCATGCAGTGCATCTGCATGGCCACCGCTCGGACCACGGCAGAACAGAAGACCGGTGGGGGTGTGAAGCGCATACCCCCTGTCGGAGATGACATGGTCAGGAGTGACAGACCATCCCCACCCCCTGAGGCCGAGCCATCACACAGCAACAATGCTAGGCAGATGTTCAGCAGTGACTGGATCAAATCAATACGATATTGTATGTGAATCAGCCAGGTAATGTCAGCTAAATGGGACACAGGACTGAACAAAATGCAGCATGAGGGTGAGGGCTTGAATCTATCCACTAAAACATTTTCAACGAGCAACCTTACAGTCCTCAGAAGAAACTAAACACTGGTAAAGATTTTCTGAAGGTTTCAAAAGTTACAACAAAAAAAGACACTTCTGAGTCTATCACATCAATGCTTCACTTTGCATTTCATTTGACTCATCCCTGTATCCATGTAATAAACAAAGTGGACTTTGAATTCCTCCCCTGCATTAGTGTGGGTGGGGTCTCCTAGTGATACTAACCCCTGCCCAGCCTACATATGCAAATTTCCCATGTGCCTATTACAATTCGCTGAAAAGACTTGATTATGCATTCTGCCCCTTGACCCTCCACAATGCACTGCTATCCCACCGCCATGTTTGTCCTTCTTTTTGAAGCGGTGAAAACCAACGGAGCAAAACTGGGAAGGATGGGCAGGAGCAGCTGGGCAGAGGTAAGTATCACTAGGAGACCTGACCCACACTAATGTGGGCGAGGAGACTCCTGCGTTCACATACCCCTGCCAAGCCTACATATGCAGAGTGGCACTGTACCCTGGAGGTGGGTCAGCAACGGGAGTGTAATTACTACTAGAAACATAAGGTGGGCGTCGCCAGAGTGAGCACTCACCAGAAGAAACCCTTAGGTTGAAGTATCCACCATCCGGCTCAGACCAGTGCTGGACATTGTCCGGACTGCCGAGCGCAAGGTCGCTATGCCATGGGCTGTTTTGCTCTGCAGAACATCTTTCAGGTAACACTCGGTGAAGGTGGAGGAAGATTTCCAGCACGCCGCCTGGCAGATTTCAGCTAGAGGAACTCCTCTGAAGTACGACCAGGGTGCAGAGGCAGCCCGCACGCCATCAGCCCTCACATCAGATCAGGTCGTCTCATCATGTTGTGCTGACCAGTCTTGGTGATCAAAGATAATGGCCAAGACCGTCTATCGGGCAATAATGTCCTTCAATGCCAGATGAAAGGGTTTCGTCGTGGTGATGAAGAGCTGGGAATTAGATCCTCAATGATGCTCAGTCCTGGCAGGATACCACTTGAGAGTCCGGACCTGGCCATCTCTTGTCAGAGTTGGGAATTAATATATTGGGAGGCTGGAAGATAGGAATCTGGTTTTTTGTCAGAAACCTGATGGTTGGGATAAGGCGATCCCTGTGGCTCCCAGCTGGTGTGACCATCAGCAACGGAGTTTTGATCACAGCGGGTCTGGTCCGAAAGATTTTTTTTTAGCCGAACATGAACAATTATGAGTGAACCTGACATGAAAATAGATCCCTCCCGCCAATTACAAACCAACGGAAATTTCCCACACCCGGTCCTTTTATGAACTGGTTCTCAAGTTAATTAAACCTTTACTTTCCAAGGAGTTTCCAAGGAGTGCTTTGCCTGGCCACGCGTGCGGCACAGGCAGGGCGGCCGGCCAGCCACTGTTGCGTCAAACAAGTAGGCATATTTGGAATCATCGTTTTATTCATTCGAATCACATTTAATTATATGATTTAAACTTTATTAACAAGTTAAAGGCTGTACATCGAATAATAATCCACTGCATATACATGTACTGCATCGCACAGTACATGTAGGCCTGCAGTTCATGTACATTGCCGTGTACATGAAAGCTTGCTGGTGCATGATGCCAGGCTTGCACTCCATGAATGGGATAAGTGTCAACACGTGTAATACGAGGTTGACCGTAAGACGAGGTTTTTTGGAGAGTCCCTTCGAGCTTGTATTAAGCGTGTTCGACTGTACACATCTTCCACAGTATGCACTGGTAGTAGGGAGACCATCAGAGGATTTCAAAGCATGAGAACTGGGGGTAAATATCAAATGCCTGGACCCGGCTAATGGGGAGTAAGTTTACTTGCCCCAAGTGCAGTGCCAACGGACAGAGCCACCACAATCCGGGACATGATCCAGAGCTGGGTCCTGATGAGGGAATGGTTCTGGCTGGACAGTAGAGACCACTTCAGCCTCCGAGAACATCCCTTTTAAGGTAGGAGGGACGGCCGGCAGGGGATTCGGCTCGGGTGCCGTCGCTGCTGGCAGAGGCTTGGCATCTATCCTGCGGGCAAGAGAGTGAAGGCCTCTGAGATGGACTGGAGGGTCATCATCCAAGGGGGCGGATCTGGATCGGAGCGGCATTTCTTCATAGCCTTGGACGAGGAAGAAGAAGCGGAAAAGATGTCTTGGCCTTGTGCTCCTTAGCCTTCACTGGTGCAGGGAAGCCAAAGGCCGGGACGGTTGGAGGTACAACAGGGCAGGGGTCTCCCGAATGGTCGGTCGTATCCTGCGAGGAGCGTTCCAGGTCATGATTAGTGGCCTCATGACCGGAGTCCATTGGCAGACAGGAGCTGCAGATGGGGTATGGCGGACGAAAGCCCCGGCGGCATAGCACTCCAAAGGGGGCGGCATCGTCCGATGCAACGGGAGGCTGAGTACCATGCTGAATTGCAGGACTCGCCCGTGGCAGAGCGGTGGAGCGTGTCCAACTCGCTGTGTAACCCGTTGCCCACTTGGAGGGAATTAACTGGCCCAGATTCCAAGTGGGCACCACCTGGCGGGCAGAAGCCGTTAAGGGACCAGGGGCAGACGGCAGACTGGCGCCCATGAGCCCATCATCGGTCAGTAGGGTTGCCTGGGGATGCAGTAGGTAGCAATGCCCGGTACCCACGGCATGGAGAAGGGACTGCTCATCATTCTCTGGTCACTGTGATCAAGGGTAGCGTTGCGGCATAGCTCGCTCAACCTGATCTGTAGATATGTGGAGCGGGCGTCGATGATCCCGGTCAGCAGGTGTACAGAGCATTCAGCAGTGACCAAGGGCGGTGTTATGGTACCGCTCGCTCAGCCCGATCAATTCTGGTAATGGTCATCAGTGATCAGGGTATTGTTGCGGCATAGCTCGCTCAACCCTGCCTATTCATTCCAATGGGTCTCTCTTCATTGAGGCTGTTAATCGGATAACACAAACGCATCACAAAAGAGCGGGGCAGTCCGCCAAGCCCCGCTACATGGCCAGACCCATATAACATTGGGCCGTTATTATTCGAACGCACGCACCACACAGAGAACAAAGGGCTGCCCAGCCCTGTTCAACGGCCATACACAACACACAATGGTAAGTCACACCCAAAGCTGTTGATAATGCATAGAAAAAAGGGGCAGAAAAGAACAACAAAATATACAAAATACGAGATATGAAATACGAGAATAAGAACTCTTACCAACAGATAAGAAATCACTTTTATACGTAAACAAAAACAAGTCAATTCACAAAGGTGAAAGATATGAACTCGAAACTGTGAAAATGCCAGAAAAGACACGTCTGTAAACGATAGGCGCTGAGAAAAGAAGGAAGAACACGGCGGCGGGATCGCAGTGCATTTTGAAGGGTCAAGGGGCAGAATGCATAATCAAGTCTTTTCAGCGAATTGTAATCGGCACATGGGAAATTTGCATATGTAGGCTGGGCAGGGGTATGTGAAAGCAGGAGACCAGGTTTTTTGGTAAGTGCTTGCCAAAATTTTTCACTGGCCGCAACTCACTCCATTGACAATTACCACAAGTCTACTAGGCTTTGCTGTCCCATATCTCGGTCAAATGAATCACAACTTTCAGAGCAATACAGCATCAGTAATGACAAGTCTTAGGAAGTACATTTTCAGCACAAATTTTACGATATACAAAATCGAAAAGACAGGCCCCAAATCCAGGAGTGGTATCTTCTGCAACAATAACGAATTTAGATATTTCCCAAGCATCGATCTTGTTACCTATTACTGGAATACTCATGAGAAAGCCTTGATTGTTGTACAACTAACCCTTCCAGTCAGTAAAGATTTTGTTATAGATAACTCCACACAGTCTTTCCCTTAAGGGACTCACAGGGTGAAGAACGATTATGGCACTTCAGTGCATGTGTCCTCAAGCAAGGTATCCAACTACAATGATAACCATAGGGCAATTCAGTTTGCTTGAAAACAAATGAAATGCTGTAAGCTGGTGATGATAACCAAGCCTGCCCTCACAGTTGCTTACACATTTATAGTTTACTGACAAGGGGTAATGTTGGTTTTAACAGTGCTCAAAGGGTAATATATGAAAACATACTCAAAGTCCATTGCCTGCCCCCAAATAAGAAGTAAATATTAGAAAATTGCTCCAGAAATGTGATGGAAGACTGTCTGGTACCTTGAGGTGTGGGAGATGGCTGATGATGCTCTGCCTAGTCAGGGTCACATAGATACCCTTCAAGAAGTTGGCTGCAGACTCCCAGTCCATGTGACGCTGAAATCAAGCAAAGAGAATAGGATTAGGTTTAATTGGAGTGAGACTTTGATTGATTTAAGGTTCGGTTTTGCTTGGCTTAGTTGGATGCAGCTAGAATGCATTTGGATTGGGGCAAGTCAGGTTGGTTCATTAGGGTTACATAGATTAGAGAGGAATAGGACAGACACACCCAGTATCTACATAAAAGTAGGGACCCAAAATGGAGATGGAACCAGATCATACAAGGATTACAAACACGCATAATTTTTCATATCTTGGTAAAAAAATAAAGTATAAGCAGTCAAGAAATAGAGGAAGGGGGCAGGGCCGATAGCGCACCCATACTTAAGCCACTACTGCAATCCGCAATCAATGTTAACCACCTAACAGATAACAAAACATCCCTGATTGACTGATTCAGTGACACCAACTGCACATAGGGTCATAAGCTAAGGTAAGGTCAATCAAGAACAAAACTTGATATCACATGGTCAAAAATGTACAGTGTGTGTGAGTGTTGGGGGAAGGCTACTACGTGTCAGTGTTCTCGAATAACCTGCAGTGTCATTTAGTTTGAGCATGCACTGTTGAAATACTGAACTGGCTCAGTATGAACGCATACATGTATTCTCTCCAATGCCATATATGTTCAAGCTGCACACATCATACACACTGGCATTCATGTTGAAGACAAATCACGATTTTGATTGGTCACCAAACATCACAGGGTGGGGCTTGATGGATAAGTTTACTGGATGAGGATTAATGATTGGAGAATCATGCACAAATCCAATGGAAGCCATTGGACCAAATTTGTAAGTTTTTATGACAGGAGAGCAACAGGGCGGCCACACATACTGGCACCACAGTTGGGAGACTACACACAAATTCTTTATGGACACAAATTTACAACTTGGTCCTGAATTCCCAGATAAAAGAAATTCGTTCCCTCAACACAGGGCCGGTCAAATCACAACTGCATGCCAGTACACACAAGGTGTGTGCACATGACGAGGAGGACAGGCATAGTGTGGACATCCAAACACAAGAATGTCTACATAATGTAGAGTTAGAAGACTTTGTATGGCCTCACATACATCCACACAATGCTTCCCCTCTCTGAAAAACAGCTGCAAAGGCAATTTGGGGACAGGGTTAACTGTTGCAAAATGAAGAACAACAGTCCAGGAAATCATCATCAAAAGTGAAGCATCTTCTCCAAGTTTTCTTAATTGGGGTAGAACAAAGGAATGTCTGTCCACACTACAAATTGGAATCAAGCAAGTGTGTGCTCGGGGTGAGTTAACCCCACAGACGCACCATGAGTGTCGGCTTCTTGTGAATCTTATTGAAGAGTTTATCCAGTCTCTTCAGGATGAGGATGAGGGCTGGGCGAAGGTCTTGGCTGGTCCAATCTGTCTGTGGGATCATCTGGGTGATGTACATCTGTAGCCCCTTGCAACCCATGGTGATGGGGTCGTGGGGTGCTACCTTCAGCAGGGTGTGGGCCACTTCAGCTAGCCTCTGAAAGGAAGAAAGAAGCCAAGGAATGACTCTCATTTCCAACCGGAAACAAATGTTTTGAATGAAATTTTTGTTTTGAATGATGCTGAGTACAAAAGCAGAAGATGGCACCACTCACTGCACACTAATGAGAAACTCACTGACAACTCACTGACAAACCCAACAGTTATACTATGTGCTGTGCATAGTGAGTTTTGGAAGTGTGCAGTACAAAAACCATGTAGTAACCCTTGCTCTGATTTTTATTTTTTCTTATTTGTGCACACATTTCACTAACTATTTTATGCCTTGACACTTTGTGGGAGGATTTATTATATTGAAGGTCGTTCAGATAGTGCTAAAGAAAGAATTCAGAATATTCTTTTGTAGTTTGATTACAAAGGCCTAAATAAGCTCTCTGATTTAGCATGTTGTTGGTTGTTATAACCATGTTGGCTCGTAAATCAAGGTACTTTTATGCACTCCGAGAAACTGTGTTCAACACTGGTTCCATGGAAGGGTTTTGGCAGTGTGAAAGTCAAGTATTTCCAAAGTACTTTACATGCATATCTTGCAAGGGAAGACTTAATGAAAGGACTTTGCATCATGTCTTCACAAATAGTAACAAGCATTACAGTCTCAACCTGAACCTCATGCTATTCATGAACTACAGCAAAGTTATTCCTAGTATTGTTCAGCCACTTTAATAGCGACAGTTCTAATGTGATAGTGCTCTCGATGACAGTGAGAAATACACCCAAAGTACCTGTACTAATGAAGTACTGAACCACAACTAGGCTATGCTCAATTTCCACTCCCTAAAAAGCACTGCCCATGGCCAGGTCATAGTCTTGGGCAAGTTCAAGCAATGACCATAGTTAACTATTGCTCAAACTCATGTTGTTCCAAACAATAGATTGCTGGACAATTCTGGATGACCATTTGGAACCAGGCCCTGGGGCACAGTTGCATCAATGGTTTATAGCAAAAGCCTTTTTTGTAATCAGTTGTACAGGTTCCCTTGACATAAAATGGACTGATTGGTGCACAGGTGACAGAGGTCATGAACAAAAAAACATGTAAATGGAGACAGGCTGTGAGTGGTAATTTTGCTAAAGGTGTCTGCACTAGAAAGCAGGAGGTCATGGGTTCGAGTCCCACCAAAGTCAGCTGGAGAAGTTCTCCATAAGCCTTTGGACAACACAATATACGTAAGTGAAGAACAAAAATACAAAATATAAGATAAATAAAAAGAGTATGACAAGGTTGCTTGAAGAGAATTGTATTGCATGTAAGAAGCAACTGACTGGCCATCAAACTGTTTGCACTCAAAAATTACCACTGGATGTAGAAAATATCCTGCCTGATCCACTCACCAAGTGGCAGCGTTGGTCCAGTAGCTCCAGGGAGGAAGAGGAGCTATGCTGTCTGGATTCGTTGTGGGGTCGTAGCTCCTTCAGCCTAGCCAGGCTGTGGCAGTAGTAGCCGGCTGCTACATTCAGCAGCATGTCCCGCGGCTTGCAGAACTCGTTCATTGGCTCTGCGTCCTCCGAGTCATCCTCATAGCGGCGCCGGACACGGTAGTCATTGTATCTGAGCCAAGACAGAGGACAAGGATGCAAGTTATTCATTGTGCCAAGGGAGCCAGCTTTCCAAAATTTTGGCTTAATCACTTGGCATAGGTTTTTCATGAAAGCATTTGCATGAATTGACACCTTTTACTGATCGATGGTTACAAGTGGACAAATCCTCGAAACCACTCTCAAGACAATTATTTTGCCTGTATTCCACAATTCAAGCACCATCTCAAGCACTGAATTCATATCAGTCTGTAAGTTTGGAAAGTTTCTTGAGGGATCCAAATGACAACCCCCCCAAAATTTGACGAAGGCTTCACTGGGGAAACCTTCTGTTTCTGTTCCAGATAAAAGTAGCTGATTTGAGCCGGGGGCAGGGACAGGAGCTGCCCTCCTTGGCATTTCTCTCGATATCGTTGCCATTCATTTGTTTCATGTCAGGCTTCAGAAGTTTTTCTCACAATGCCTTGCCATCCTTTTGACACCAATTTTATAAAATCAGTTGTATGATCTCGAGAAATAGCCTTTGTTTTTAAGACAGGGTGCTCCAAAGTAATAAAATATTTTGGCTGATCATATGGTGCACAGTATGTAAAGAACAAAATAAAATGCAGTTAACATTGCTATCTTTTGGGTAATGCAAAGCACAAGATTGACCGCTTACCCAAAGAGGTCACAGTAATATACTTCCCAAATTTGACATCACTTCACGTCGATTATGAAGACTACAAATCATCATCCCTATAAGTCTGAAATCTAATGATCCATGGAGGATTCTCAAGCCTGTGGCATACGTAGGCCACAGACTCACACAGAGTCCACAAGCAGTAAGCCTAGTCACGTTATGTTTTAATGGGCAATGTCAACATACACACTAACAAAGGTAAAAAAGTTGGTGGCAGAAGTGATCAAATGCTCTATTTATGCAAGGCATGCAATCAGTCATCGCAAGCCACTGGCAAAACTGAAAGGGTTTTGACACAAGAACAGACATTCCCACTGACCTGAACTGGAAATCTTCCCTCATGTCTTCTTCCCCTAGGTCAGCCCCAGCAGCATTCATGGCTGACTTACGGGAGGCCTTGTGAACCGAGCTCTGCTGGGAGTTGTTGGAACTCTTGAAGCTTGTTGTAGCATTGACATTCTCAATCTTGCGGCTTGGCCCGCTGGTGCTGCTAGAGACATCAAGCAATGAAAAAAGGAATGAAGAACAATTATATAATAGTAGTTCAAGATTGTGGATTTCTGTGAAATTAATGATGCACACATGACGTGAAAATGCAGAAATGCTAAGACACAGACCGGCTCACAGGATTTTAAGTGATTCAATAGAAAGTCAGAAAGTCAAGTCCATCATTTGTCATTTGCGCAATACGTTCATTTAACTAAGGTAACAAAATCTAAACAAGGATGCTTTACAACTAGCCTCATGAAGTTAGGGCTAAGCGAATGATGAATATTCAGAGACAAACTTTTTTTTAGGCTTTCAACTTCAAATCAAAAATTCCACTATCAGGTATTCAATTGCAACCCTAATTTAGCATCTGGGGCAGGCTTTCATTCAGCCAATTCTAGACAAATAGCAAAGGGTTGCTCACAATTTATCAACATAGGCTATCACTTGATTTGAGACTGAATGATTTGTAATGGACTTACAACTGACTTTCATTTCTTCCAATACTGCTATCTATCATGAGCCAACAAATGGGTGTATTCCTCTAAACTCAGCCACATGGGCCCAATGCCACGATTTTATGCTAACAGAGGCTCCATGTATTTCATGAAGATCGTAAGCAATAAGCATGGCAAAAGACATACTTAGCTCGGACGAAAAATTTGCGTAATGTAGTAAACAAACAACAGAAATCTCTATGTGCATGTAACAGCAAGGATAACGATGCCAAACACCACCATGCAATGGTGTTAAGTACAACTTTTCTGAAAACCGTTAAGCAGATCCATAGAAGTGGGCACTGTTTCACCATGTTCACTACTACTTGTGCAGATTTGGTTGGAGATAAGCGTCTCTCGGGATCTATGCATACAGTGAATATTAACTATTAACGGGGAGGATACTGTGACAGTTACAGACATTTAGACAAGCTGTACAGGACAAGTTGAAATTAGGTATGGTACAACTAAAATGTTGGCTGGGCCTACCGTGCCAAAGTTTCAGCGCCTATGATGAGCGCCTTAATGCACACTCCCATGCTATTGATGACGGCTGTTTCTGACTTGGCAGCGCTGGGATTGTCTCTCTTCTTGGTCTGCTCCTTGACGTGCTCTAGGTAGAGGGGCACAAGATCTGCTAGAACACTCTGGAAGAGGGGAGGAAAAAAATATAACAACAGCAATTCAAATGGCACAGTCTACAACTTCGGACCTACACAAGCCAAACCTGAATGTCAGCCACAACAGGACTTTTAGGACCTGCATAGGCCCTCCATGAATGTCAGTCACATGCTATGGGACTGTTTAGGACCTATGTAGGTCCTTTGTGAATGTCAGTCACAGCAGGACTGCTTCAGACCTGCATGGGCCCTCCATGGATGTCAGCTCCTGCAGGTCTGCTTTGGACCTATGTAGGCTCTATATGAAATGTCAGTCATGTACTACAGGATTGCCAAGGACCTGTCCTCCATGCATGTCAGTTATTGCAGGAAAAGTAAAGGGCCTGTAATTAGGCTGCCCATGAATGTCAGTTACAGTAGGACTGCTTAAGTCTTGCATAGGCCCTCCTGACAGCATAGCTATAATCATCGCCCCCCCCTCCTGGAATTTAGAAAATAAAGAAAATAAAATTCTAAAGAAAACACTGGGACTTGCATCCCCCACCAACACCCGGCTCCCCAGGTACACTGCTGTAGGCCCTAAACAAATGTCACTCAGATGCTTACAGCTTGCATTATATGCAATTAAAGTTGCACTTACTGTGTGCAAGGTGATTCCAAAAGATTCAGGTAGCTTTGCTTCCAATCTGTTAACTAGGACACTGCTGCTTTATGCCAGTTTCTTGGGTCACAATTCCCCCAAAACCTCTGGCCAATGTGCAGCAGTCTGATTTTACGTCAGTCATTCATTTCTGAGTTTGCAAGTAGTACTTGTTAGCAAAGTCATAACCAGCACTGTGGCTGGCAGACCCTGAAGTTTTACAATTGCACAAATGATTCTTGACATTATTATGAATTCACCCAACCATGGGTGGTCTGAATTGAATCAGGGGCTTCTTTGTATGCATGAAACATTACTCAAAGTGAAGGTGGAAGAATTCCAAAAGTGAGTGGAAGGAAGTTATCCCTGTGCTTACCAGCATCTGTGCACTGCGGACAGACTCAGGAGCATAGGCCACCACAATGGCACACAGGCGTATGGCTTCAGCAATTGTAAATGTTGCCAAGTGATCGTTACTGTAACAGAAATCCTATTGAGAGGAAGGAGAAATCAAGTGTCAAACTGCACTAAACAAAAGTGTACAAGAGGCTGGATGTACTAACGGCAGTTACAGCTTCTTTGCATGTCAGCAATTTCAACAAAATCAGGACAATTCTGCGTGAATATTTTTTTGGGGGGTTAGCATTTTCTTTTCGATAGAAACTAATCATGCTGGACACTGTTGTGACTGCGGTGATGTTGGAAAACAACCAACATTTACAGATAGGAAGGCCCTATCTTTACAATACATTTAATGCATGATTACTTCTTATGTGCCAACTTTGGTGGTTTTTATTCCACCTTACACCCCCCCCAAAAAGGGGAGGCTGCAGAGGGGTCAGTCTGTTACCATGGCAGTAGTTCGATTTGCCTGATCCTTGAAAAGTCCAAATTTCAAAACAAATCTCAATGAAAGGACACTCCCCAACGAAGAAACAGCACAAGGGTTTAGGTCCTAACTTAAGATAGAATAGGATACTTTGTGAAAATCCCTTCCAGTAATTAGTGGTTTCTGTGGCTACACTAGACCAGTGTTGACTTGACCACAAAACTTTCTGTAAATGTATGCGTTTCTCATCTTGGTGGCCATTGGCCTTATAAAAGTACTTCTGTCACTTTGACATCATTTGATGGCCTTTGATGACATCATTCAATGGCCTTTGAAAGGTGAAATGTAGAAGTTAAGCCAATGGTTTCTCACATGTTGGTAGATTTTGGAGGGTTCAGAAAGAATCTGAATGAAAGTGCCCTTCTCAGGGGATTTAAGGTTAACAGTATTTTGAACTTTGAATTCGTAGTGCCTGTGTATCTCCATTCATCTACTGAGTTTGTGTGACCAAGGACATCAAATGACAACTGAATTTTATTTCAAGAACAGTAAAATTATACTTGAAATGAATGCATATCTAGTGCATCCTACCAGCGTCTTCAGGGGTTTTTCACCAGTGACCAGCTCTAGTATGTCCAATGAGTCCTTGCTGTCTTTCTCCATGGAGAGCAGGAGACGGAAAAGACAGCGGGGAGAAATCTAAAGAAACAATTAAGAAAAATTGATTATAGCTCCGAGTTTTTTTCGGAAAAGAAAAAAGATGAAAAGTAAGATAATAAAACATCCCAGGAACATTTACAGGTGAGCATGAAGACACTGTGTGGGCTCTGTGTACAAATTGAAGTTACTGTGTCCTAATTGGCAGCCAAAAACCGAAGATACCAAGTTACAAATGGTAGAATGAAAGTTGTGTTGAGTGTTCACCAACTGACTTATTCTTGCTAATTTCTCTCTGGACAGGCTGTTTACAAAGCTTTTCACACATCAACCCACATTTCATTCCCTAGGATGTATGCACATACCTTCTGTGGGTTAACCTCTTCTTCTCCTTGTAGCAGAGGGGCCGCACTCCCAAACAACTGACGGGAAAACAAATGTTCAATTACTGCTTCTGACATGCTTCAAAAAGTTGGCTTCATTTTTACATTGGAAATAACATTTAACACTGCATTTTGAAATTAATTATTATGTATAAACCTTTCTTTCACACATAGGAGTTTTAGATCAAATAAAACAGGATTCTTTTTCAAATAAATGTGTTTGCATTGAACACATCAAATTTATGATAAGAAATGTATATAAATAATCTGTAAAATCTTCTGAGTAAACTTTGTTCCATGTTACTTGCATCTTTTATGGTTAATAAATTTTAAATAGTGAGCAACAAGGGCAAAGATGCCAGGGAAAAATGTACAAAAACACAGCCGCATCCAGAAATGAATTCTGAAGAACAAGGCAGGTTTTTACCTGGAGGACAAAAGGCTTCATGTGGAGCACATAGAACTGCCGGCAGACATACTGAAAAAGTGGGGAAAATGAATTGTGCTTTGGTTTTTATTGCACACTCACACAGCAGAGACATTTAAGTCAAAGACAAAAGTAATAGGTAATAGGCCAAAATGCTGAAATTCTTTGTAAACTGAGTAAAAGAGAAACAGTTAACTCTCACTTTCATGTTTAACGTTTATGCAATATAAAACAAAAAATCAAAATCAATCAAAATACAAGGGAGGACAGAAAGAACTATTTTTTTGTTGAAATTACTGCAGTATGTTTATAATTTGAACTTGGAAAATAATTTTGTTCTGATGATTGGAAGTTGTTTCCAGATGTGATTTTGTACAAAATAGTGCAATACCTCAACGGCACGACAGACTAAGGGATTGGAGTTATGGTAATTATAGACCCTCAGAATGGTGGGCATGATGTACTGAAACCTACAAAAGAGAGAAATATTGGGATATATTAATCTACCTGATTCAAGCTTCACATATGTAACCAACCTAGTTTATTTTATTAGCAGCACATGTGTTTCACTGGTCATACTTGTGCTAGGTACTTTTTCTGTACTCATATTTTGCAATCATATGGAAAAATGGTTCCGTACTAATGCTCATGAGAATGTCCACGTACAAGACGACAGTACTGCTTTGTCACAGCATCCAAATGCAATGAAGCCAAGTTTTCATGTCAATTTGAGACAGAAGCCATATTCCCACTGGATTTTTGTTTTGGTATACAAACTACTGCAGCTGAGAAAAATGAAAGAATAAAATCAGTCCAACTGGAACCCCCTGGAGAACTGAAGTCCCTGCTAGTTTTAGAACTCACTCATGCTAACTTAACAAGCCAAAAGTGGTCGCAGATTTCCCCCAAGCTGCAGTAGTTTAAAAAGGACCTGCAAATGGTTAAATATCCCTAAGGGCAGTTCTTCAAAATGCTTCAAGTAATATGGATAGTTTCCTGACCCTTAGTGTGTACTGATGATGGTACGTACATAGACCCCGATTTTTTTTCACAGTCTTGCCTAGGTACTTTCCATCAAGGCAGTATTGTTTTATGCATTAATAACAACTGTGAGACATGTACAACTGTGAATGTAATGCTACACAGAAACCATTGTAGACAAATGCAAAACTGCAACACAGGAATCATTTTTGATTACATTGGTCTGAGTTGGACAACATCAGATAAAGACATTGACATCAGAATTCACTGATGTCAATATCATTATCCCAACAAAATCTCTCTTTGTTTCTCTCTGCTTACCCTTTGGTAGCAAACATCTGCTTGAAGTGGCGTGAGATATTGATGAAGGAAGCAAGGCAGATGCGTAGCAGTGAGATGTCCTGGCAGTGGAGAAGCAGACATCCATTCAGGACGTTCAGGAAGAGCTGAATATCACCGCTCCAGGAGAAATCGCTGGACATGTTCAGAAAGATGGCTGCCGTGAACTTGGGGAAAGCAAACAAAACAAGTAATCATAATGAATTCTCTTTTCATTTTTGCAATGGAGAGTCAAACGTGTACCTGTGAAGCACAAAATGAGCAGCTTCTTTGAAGATGCCGACTTGGTTGTACTTGTCCATTGTTAGTACACTTGTAGTCACATACTGACAAACACATCTTAGACTGAAGTCTTTAACTGCAACTTTCAAGACTGTTGATTTTGGTAATCTTACCTTTTCTACAGCTGGTCAAGCATCATATTCAAAAATAAAGTATTCCAGTACAGCAGATGATCTGATTGATTCTATGAACCTCAAGCGGGACCAAGGGAGGGTGCTATTTTCATAGCAACAGAGGCTCTCTTGGAGGGAAATGCACTTCACTGGTTCACACATGACTATGAAATGCATGCATTGTGGTTGCATCACAATCAACCAAATGAACACTCCCCACCAACATGGCTCTTTTCAACTGATGAGGGGGTGAGTTTGCTCAAGGCAGACAGACTCTATAGAAGAATGGTTGCCGAGAATTGGAAAAGTCTTGAGGGTTGTAATCAAACACTCATAGTCCATGAGTATGTAAATTTTTGACCACATTGTATGTGCTACTTTGCCACAGAGAGGATGGTCCAGGAGTTGGACAGTGATTTACTAAATGAAAGCTAATTTCATTCTTTTTCCATTCATGTGAATAACTCACATCACAGTTTTCTAATAAAAGAGTCATTGCCAAAAAGTTTCTTAACAGCCTAAGCACTTTACACTAACCACAAACACACTGAGCAGGACACTAATGGAAACCAATTTTCCCAGACTTGACTCAATTTCTGCCTTCTACTAAAACATGCTTGATTCAATTCTTACCTTGACCCACATGTACTTGTGTATGACATCCAGTCCAAACAATTCCTGTGAAGTATAAACAGCATTATCTTGAGATGAGTTTCTCAAACAAAGCAGAAATAAAGTTGAAATAAACAAAGTTTTTTTAGGTAGCCAGGCAAATGATGCAAGAACTGTACTACTTCTGTGACAGTTTGAGCAGACGGTCTCAGGAATCATTCCAATACTGACGACAGCATTTGCTCCAACCAAGAGGAAGAAACAAAGGGGTCAGCATAAATACGTTCCAGCTTGTCAATACCCAGCCACATATTTGCCAGACCAGTTTACACAACCTCCACAGACAGGACTTTCTTTCCTACTGGAGTCGTATCTCAGGCAGTCTCTTGGCGCCAGTGTTGTAACCAAGTTATTTTTTTCCAAGTCAAGTCAAGTCCCAAGTCAAATTTTAGCAAGTCAAGTCAAGTCTCAAGTCATTTTTTTCCAAGTCAAGTCAAGTCAAGTCAAGTCAAGTCTGGCTCAAGTCAATTTTTCTAAATAATGTACATCAAAACTAAAGTGATACCCGTTTATAATTTCTTCCTTTTGTTCAGTACTTTATTGGTGGTATCTTTCACTCTTCAAACTGACTGCCGTTAAATGATAATGACATGGCTTGCCTGTCTTAGTGTTAGTTTGTTGGTTGAACATGCACAATATTCACAATTTTTGAACCCAAAAATCACCACTTTCGGAGTAGACACGGTGTTCTGTCGCCATGTGTTGGGCAAGGAACAAAATTGGCTCCTGTCGTCATCGTTATCTACGTGCGTGCGGGAACCAGTTATAATAATAATGTTTGGTGCGCATGCACATGATCGCAGTGTGAGAAGAGAAATCATACTACTGGCATCTAACCAGTGAATTTTTTTTCAAAAAGTAATTTCCCCCCCCCAGAAAATATTTAGGGCTTTTCTATTCAAGTACATTGTTGTACATGTAATAGAATCTGACATAAGAGATTGTGAATTCACCGTTCCAGGTTGGTGCCTGGATTGGAGATGGTACATGTTGTCGTTTTGCAGTCTTCGCGTGCCTAGTGGTAAACCACTTAACAGTATACAGTTACGTGGGCTCTATAGAAAGACTGTTCTTAATGGATGTAATCAGACTACCCATTGGCCTATGCCTAAGGCCCACACAAACTTCATACAGCTCGCACACGCCATGCATGACGTATGCATGATGTGCGGTGGTGTCAGTGGAGGAACGCAACGCGATGCCACGCATGGTTCTTTTGTTAGTTTGTATTTTTATTTATTTTAAGAAAAGATTTAATGTCAACAAGTCACTTTTTTTTCCAAGTCGAGCCAAGTCTCAAGTCTTTTGTTTTCAAGTCAAGTCAAGTCTCAAGTCATTTTTCCCCAGGTCAAGTCAAGTCTCGAGTCTAAAAAATAGCGACTCGAGTCAACAACACTGCTTGGCACACGTAGTCGGAGAGATTAATGACGATGTTGCTCCATTACTCAAGAGTGATAGATCAACCCCTGAATGTGTAGCTAGCTCTTTTTTATCCAAGCTGCTGTTAACCACTGATTGGCCAATGGAAACTTCCTTGAAAGTGCTCTATGGCCTTTATCTACTGCTACTATGGTCTTACCCGTTGAGATATTTTTCACTTTAGCAACTTACATAACAAAAAAAAATCCCAGCCTGAGGTTAAACCAAAACATGTTTAGCTCTCCCTACTCCTACGACCCCAAAAATTAATACTAACTTTTTGCAAGAGTCTTCCTGCAATTCTATTTAAACAAAGCAACATTTTCTCAAGCTTTATTTAGAATTTCCAGATGTCAAAAAAACTTCTGTGACCTCTCCCACAATCTGTCTGTAACTGTTTTTTGCCTAAAAATCCACCACTTCCAATATTTATTGCTCAAGGGTGCTATCCTGAATATCATGATATGCCTTTACCTATGGTATATGTATCAACTCCTACAGAGAAACAAATCAGAGCATAGCTTACCCTGCCCTGTTTGGGAATGGCATACAGCAGAAACTCAGCATCCAACGATTTCCGTGGAAAGGAAGGTAGCCTGATCAGTTCATCATGCAAGAAAGTGATGTGTGAACTCATCTAAATCAGGGACAGAGAAAACAAAAATAAACAATTTTAAAGTAAAATTATAATGAAAAAAAAAATGGGTTACAGGTTGCTGGCCAATAGGTTGCTGTCCTAGGTTCTGATGGTGCCTTCAAGGTCTTCTCACATTTCAGTGTCTATTTTCTCAGCATTAGCCATGGCCTCCAGGGTATATTGTTTTACGTATGCACAGAGACCCATGACAGTCTCTATACAATTAGTGTTTCAGACAAGATGGGCCTTGAAATGAAACAACTTTTAACATAACCTTGGCAACAAATGAATGCATGGTGGATAACCCATCAGCCATGCCCGTGTAGACAGACTGTGTTGCTATGTCTTCCCAGTGCCAAGTTTGAGGCACACCTTTCAATTCTAATCTAAAATAAGGTCTATCCACTGGTAAGACTCACCACCTGAGATGGAGTGCTCTGCAGCGTGGCTAGCGCAAAGTACACGCGACCAAGCTCTGCAATTTTCAGTGTAAATGCCTGTTGGAAACAAGTATCAAAATCTCATGAGAAATCAAGCCATTCTAAACATCACGGCCTTCCTATTTTTGGCAGGGGAGGTAAAGATAGCAGTTAATAAAGATATGATAATTGTAAAACTGCTGAAAAGATGCTTTTAGTAACAAATGAGTACCTAAAATACGGCAGTGCTGAATTTTCCAGGTCTCCAGATTGAAAGGCTTAGCCCTTGCCTTCAAAACCATGTAATCATTTATTGCTAGGTATATCAAGTGCAAATTTTGAAGGATGATGAACCATGCAGTCTTGCAATAGCAGATTAAGAACCAGACCCAAATTTTCAGGGTGAGGGGGCAATTTTTTCAGGGGCAGGGTGATATTTGGGAATTTGTTTTATGTAACCTTTCATGGCCTGAGGGGTGAGGGTACATTTTGGGGCTTGCACAGACTCTTGAAAGGAAGGGAAGCAAACCAGTCCCCTTCCCCCAATCCCCTTTTTCTCATTATTTTTCAAAAGCAAAATTGTCTTTGCCTGTTTGTGGGGATCAATGCCCCACTGCCTCCCCCATCTGCCAGTCAGTCTTGAGGATTCAAAAGTTAGCACCCTCCATGCAGACAACAGATTTCATTACCCAATTTTGGTCAGCTACTGACCTGTTGCTGAAGGTGTTCCAATCCTTCCAACTGATCTATCTTCTTGAGTATGAGCTCGGGACAATGCGAGCGTTTGTATGCGTAGAAGTCCCTCACATAGGATTTGACGTCCAGCATTTGGTCTGTACAAGAAAGCACACGCTGCATGTCTATATGATACTTCACTCATCACTAGCACAGGCGGAGTGTCATTTTAAAAGGGGGGAAGGGCAGTTGTGAGACCATGAGGAATCAGCCATTAATAGGCTGATCCATTAAGCTCCACCCCCATGTAGGACCTACCAAAGTGGGGGGACTGAGTCCCTATATTCAATAAGTGTGGGCCCACTTCCTCCCTCCTCTCCCTTCCTCTGCAAGGGAGCAGAATGAATTAACAGCGATTTTTCCAAAAAATCTGAGGCAGTACCATTCTGGTATCTTTAAGAATATCACTTTTCCTGGGGTTTAATATTTCATACTTGTCAAACAAAGCAGCCTTTCCCAACATTTGGATATTTAACATTATAGAAATCAACCCTTCAATTGTTATACCCTGTACATGTACTTCATTGGTTTCAACTAATGTGTGCGCATATCTTTGGGTTTGCTGATTTTACCTTATTTCTCCCGACACAATATGGTGATAGGCAGACATGTATGTCATGTATGTATGTTTATAATAATAAAATAGATTTGGCAAACGCCCCATGTTAAATTACCCTCAGAGTGATTTACCTTAAATTGTCCAGCAAGACAAAGTTACATAAAAATTTAAATGAGTAATACATTAAATTAAACTGAAGTAGTTGCACATATTAGTACACCGCATAAGAGCTATGTCACTGGGCCAGTCTATCGGAGGAAAGAAAACCAGGCGTGGGGGATCCAGACACACAGCATCCTGTCTAAAAGGTTCTGCAAGGCCAGCCATTTTGTACTACTTAAATGTATGATGATGATCATGATGATGGTGATGATTATGATGATGGTGATGATTATGACATGCATTTGTACAACACTAAATTACCAGAGGATACAAGGCACTTATTATTAGCATCCCTGCTTGCTTTCTAAAAACATTCCTAAAAACCATCACAGCTCTCTAGGGAAGTATACAACTCCATGCTGCCATTTCAGGCACAAACAGCTAATCAAACACAACAACCATCTCTATACTCTGAAAGGTACACATTCATACTCCGGGGTGGAGAAAGGCAAGAGTAAAATGACTTGCATGTAACAACCAGCTGGATTCCAACCCCTGACCCACAAATGGTAGCCACTAGGCCACATATCTCCACTCCTTTCCTGCCTAGTTTAGAACACTGACTAATATGGCAGCAGGGCATTTGCATAAAGTGTTAATAGAAGAGTTTTCCTTACTCGTCTTCTTGTCTACCAGGAAGTGTGCACAATGCTCCTGGATGGGAATATTGAAGAACTCCAGGCAATCCTGATGGATCTCCTCAAACTGCATGTCCTGGAGAAAAAGTAATCAAGAACACAGAAACTGATGTTGTGAGTGGCATGGTAAGCCACAATGGTGGGAGTACGCTCAACTATAACCTCAGCAGCAGAAATATTACAACAGATAAATCTGAGTAACCTAGCGACTGTGGCCAAAGCTCAGATGTGTCCCTCCCAGGCAAAGGTGCTGATGAGTTTGTATACATTCAGTCACAAACTACATTTGAAAGTTTCTCGTGTACACTCACCTGCACTGTGCACAGTGAGCATTGCACATCAAAGGCATTTAGGTGCCTTTCCTGTTCTGAAGCTTGAAATAAAATGCTTAATGTCAACAACATTCCAAGAATCATTTGTCAGCTGATTCTGTCACATGCACCAGACAAGTGCAATTTGTGAGGAAAGCAAAAATTTAAACAAAGAAACAGCAAAATTAGTCCCCCCCCAACCTGTCTGTGGATCTAGCATCTGAGCAACAGATTTTTTTGGAGAATGTGGCACATTCAGCATCGAGTTCAGTTACTCATTAATCC